GTTGTTGTTGTTGTTGTTTTTTGTAGAATGATGTGAAAATGAGAACAAACTCTTGATAATAAATTTAAAAAGTGTTTAAATGGGGTGTGGTACTCACAACAAACACAGAGTAGTCAGAGGAGGGTTTATGCAAATGCACCAGCACTGGGTCTGGCTGTGATCATGGCCTCATGATCCACATCTGAAATAGATCCATTCTTTAGCGAATCCATAACCTCGCTAATGGGTTGTGGATGGATAAATAAATAAATAAATAAAACAGTCTTTTTACAGGTTTGGGTTCACCTATATTTGGCCCAGAGCAGATAASTTTTGCTGTCAGTGTGAACAAATAATTGTGCAGAGTTTGTCATTTCTGCTCGTTCAAAAGCAGATGGAGTTTGTTACTGATGACACGTCACTTTGGAGAAAATGGCAATGTGTCATTTTCCTCATTTTCCTACAGTGGCCCAGAGCTGTCATGTAAAATACAAAAGCCACAACACAAATACAAAAGCCACAATGGAAATCGAAAACCGTAAGTCATGTAGTCTGCAACCAGTGGTGGGCACAGTTACCCTAAAGCACTAAAGCACTAAAGCATTGATAGGGGAACTAGTTTCTTGATTGGTGCTTTAGGGCTTTTGCTAATTGTAAAATTCATTAGTGGATTAGCACTTGCTAAAATTACAGGCTAAATTTAGAAGCACTAAATGAGGTCTATAAATGTTATTGATAAACTGTAATGTTAACAGCTGAGGGTGAAAACTGTCACATGTTGTTCATATGTGTGTCACTGATCCACCAGGTGATAATATATGAACACAAATACAGCTGTGGAATAACAATAAGTCTTAAGAGAGCAACATGGTAATATGTGACTCATGGTGTCTGTTGAAGAATGTTCATGGGTTGACTGGGTTCTTTTAGTGCTTTAGAATTAGCTTTTGCTAAAACTTTCAGTGAGTTAGTGCTTTAGAATTAGGGGACTTAAATATTTTAGTTAGTGCTTTAGGGCTAGCGGAACTAATTTTTAGATTAGTGCTGCCCACCACTGCCTGCAAGTCCTCATGAGCACGTAGCCCAGCTGGGCCACGTGGGCCACATCCTTCCCAGTCTGGGTAGGCTGTGGCAGAGTGGTTAGGGGAGTTGTCCTGGAACTGGTAGGTCACCGGTTTGATCCCTCATTCCAGCTGTCTSAGTTGTTGTGTCCTTGGGTAAGAYAATTCATCCCCAATGCCTCTGWTGTKTGTCCCATCAGTGTATGAAGGTGATTGGTACTGATTAGTCTCCATAGATGATTTGTATGTTAGCTTTGTAGGAGATCTGGYAGAGTGCTGTGTGAATGAGGGCACAGATTGTWGTWTGAAGAGCTTTGAGTGTCCTGGTTGGATAGAAAGGCACCATACAAGTACAGTCCATTTACCATTTAGGCTCTGCTTAAAACTGGTGAAATTAGACAGTCTCCTCTAGTTTGTCAATGAGTGCTTGTGGCAATAACATCATTGTAAGAGGAGGACAACTAGACACAGCAGCTTCCACCCCTGTTGAAGGACGGACRTTTTCTCTTCACAAAAATGGCTTCCTTCAGTCCTCTCAAACCAACGTTTCTCTCTGTCAAGGATGAGAACATCATCCCTGAAAGAGTGACCACTGGCAGTCTACATGAGTGTAAACTGC